TATTAAACGACATTATGGAGCGTAGACATCTTAACAGAGACGAAATGCTAAGGGCCATGAGCATGCTCGAAGCTGGAATGCGCCAAATCGACGTAGCTAGAGCATTAAATACAACGCAAAGTGTAATATCGCAATTAAGTACACGCTACCGTGAACGTGGTGATGTTGCTGAAAGGCACACAGGGCGACATCGCTCAGCAAGATCATTTTTTACAATTAACAGCACCAGAGCTTAGTTTAATTCTCCAGGAAACACATAATATAACCGTTAGTCCTGACACTGTTCGCAATAGATTAAGAGAGGTCAACTTAAGAAGCAGACGCCCCTGGAGAGCTCAACCCTTAACGAGAGGAAATCGGGAGGTACGATATTTGTGGGCTCAAGATCATGTTCAGTGGTCGAATGAACAATGGGCCAATGTTCTCTTCACGGGTGAGTCACGCTTTGGAATTCATCCGGATTCGAGAAGGCTTAGGGTATGGAGAGAACCTGGAAATCTTATTCGGTTGGATCATGTTCATGAAGTGCACCCTTATCAAGGTGGAACAGTTATGGTCTGGGGAGGAGTCCAGTTAGGCCGAAAAACCGATCTCGTTTTTCTTGAAAGGTTTCTAATAGGAATCACATATCGTGATTTAATTCTTGAGCCTGTCGTGTTACCATATGCCAATGATTTTGGGAGAAACTTCATTTTCATGCATGACAATGCACGGCCTCATACAGCCAGAGTGGTAAGTAAGTTTATCAATGCTCATCAATTAAACATCTTACCCTAGCCGGCACAATCTCCTGACCTCAACCCCATCGAGCACGTATGGGACGCGGTCCAAAGAAGAATTTTGAGAATGGGTATGCCTCGTGAAACTCGTAGGAATCTGGTTCGGGCCGTGAATGCAGCGTGGCAGGCTGTACCTCAAGAAGAGATCGACAACCTGATCAGGAGCATGGAGAGACGATGTAGGGCTGTAATGAACAGTAGAGGAGGCCATACCCTTTATTAAGTAAAAATGGTTTTATCTTTTTTTTTAATTCACAGTTTAGAATAAAAAAAAATTGTGTATTTTTCTGAATTCAATAAATATCAATATAAATTTGGAAATTTCGGTAAATTTCGCATTTTTATTTCCAATACGTCCTGTAAACTATTTGTTTATTTTAATTTTATTATATCAGAAATGCAAATAATAAAATTACTGACGATGGCTGGATAAAATTGTAATATCCCTAGACTTTTCAGGTGTGTCTATTTTCATATAAAACATATTTAAATTCCTACAAGTGGGCTTTGATTTTGACAGTTTTGATTTTTTTAATGTTAACTTATCACAATCTCTATCGACTGTCCCTCTTGCATTCTTATCCTAATATCTGTTTAATGTATTGTAATAATAATATCTCTTTAATTGGTTAAGACAGGAAGCAATGCTTCAACTTCGCCTTTTGTAATAAAGCCAGCCATACTTCAACCAAACTTATTAATAGTTCGGTGTTTATATTTTCCATTTCTACTCTTCATAGTCTTCATCAGTACATCCATGAAACAACCAAACCCACGCGTTTCTCCCAAACTACTCTAGCGAATATCCTTAATGACCATGCCACTAAAACCAATCAGAGGCTTTTCTACCGAATCACGACATACAATGCGCACTGAAAAACTAACAAACATTATGCACAGAGGAAAATCACCATTTTTTTGGCGAAGAAAATAGTAAAATATCCGTAATAAAACATGGTTAGAAGTTAGATTATAATAATTACAGTGGTACAGGTTCTCGACCGAAACGAAAATTTCGTAATAACAACGTTTATGACAGAAAATTCGTGTTTTCCAACGGCCAAATATTGTAGCTTTATTCTAATCTCGTCATTATCATACCGGTTTTATTGACGATGTTAATCTAGACCTAAAACACGCAAGAACAAAATATATGTATTTTGGAACGCCATTCGGTTGTCTAACAATGGATCTGGGCCTGTATTCTGTAACTTTGACATAAAAACGTTACGTTTTCAAAGCGGTGAGCGCAAGTATTCGATTAGCGAAACGCAAGGCAGTGGATTTTGGTATTCTCGTTGCCATGCGAGTCGTGTTCTGGATACGCGTTGAGCACATATTGGCAACATCACAATTTCTAATATAGGTAATAGTCAAAAGTTGATAACTGACGGATGTAACAATGAAAAATGTCAATGTTACCTGAATTTCATAACCTATTGTTGAGTTATGTTAAGCTATTTTTCTATGGATATGTCATTATTCTTATTATACGAGGGAAGTGTTGAAGACGCTTCTCAGCATTTTCGATGTTTTGAACAATATTTATAGCTACCAAGTCGTAAATTATCATAATTACTTATTAAGGAATTTATAGAAGAAGTAGTAATTTTCACTAAAGAGCAAGATAACGCAGAAAATCACAATTTTTTCGATTTTCACTGACAGTTCGACAAGCAAAACGATCCTTTAAGGTAACCGTTTTCAAAGCGCTCAGCGCAATCAGTAAAGACGCTAAGCGCGTCAGACGAGAATACCGAAAGCGTTAATTAAGTGCGCGCTCTGCGAAAATTAACGTCATATACGCTGAGCGTCTAAAAGCGCTTAGCGTTTTCAAAGTTACAGAATACGGGCCCTGAATGCTATAATTTCTTATTTTAGATTTTAATAGTTGTAGGTTAATGGTTCACTCCAATGACAGACTTCTGTCAATTTAATTGGAATATAATTTCAACAGACAAAAATTCTGTACTGGGTGGTGCATCGGCGTTGGAAACATAAGAAATTCCATGCAAAGTTTGAACTGTTCAGATATTGGCTCTCCTATTGATTTTACAGCGAAGCCGTAAATAGGTTTTTAAATGTCTGCATATGATGAATATACAGGGTGTCCCAGAAATAAGTACAAGTATTTTAAGGGGTGGTAGATCTAGAGGTGGGAATTCTAGTCCCTTGGGAGGAACTAGTTCCTTAGTTCTAGTTCCTCCAGAGGAATAGTTCCTTGAACTAGGTCTTTAGTTCACAATAGTTCCCGGCTAACATTGACATCCCCCTTGCTTGCTAATGTGTTTCGTTGTCAGACAGAACGATTCACAGTATGATCTGTATAATTTTTATAATGTACGGAGATATAACGAGACTTGTAATTGTGTATGTTAAAAACATATAGGTAAGTTTTATTGCAGTTAAAAAAACAAACTCAAATCAGAATTTAAAAAACTATATCACAAATCAATTGGAGCAAATATCACAAAAATTTTACGAAAAATTGCATTTTTCCTCACTTCAAGTTTTTTGTTTTTGTCTAAAAATTCAGAATATCTACTTCGTTTTATAAGATATTTCTTAATTTTAGGGACCTAAAGTGAAACATTCCCATAAAATATTTAAAAAACAAACTAAAAATCAAATCAGTATCCACGACAATTTTCTGTGGTAATAGACAAGGCCGAATCCATCGTCGTCGCCTTGTATTATATCTCGAATCTGCCGACTGAATAGATTCCCGTGATCTAGTCTTTTAATAGTTCCTCTACAGCATCAATCGCGCTGGCTGATCCATACGTAAACTAGTCTTTTATTTAGTTCCTCTAGTTCCTTTAGGTCCGGATCCGATAACATACGGCATAACTTAACGATTTTATACAGGGTGTTTCAAAACAAATGCGAAAAACTTCAGGGGGTGATTCCTTGTTCAAAATAAAGGGTAGTTTGCTTCATAAACGTTGGGTCAAAAGTCAACCATTAGGGAGATATTGCGGTACAAAGATGGCGGAAAAATAATGTTTTTATTTTTTATCTTGAAAACGAAAAGAGATAAGACTAATAAAATTTTATGGAAGCATTACTGTTATGAAAACACTTTCTGGTAATTTTTACTTTTTTAAAATGAGTGGAAGGGGTTGAAATAAACTACCCCTATCATTCTTGTTAACGAAATTTAAAGAAAAATCTTATCAAACACATGCAAAAAAATTAATTTGGATATTTTAGTTTGTTTAGAAACTTTTTTATCTCTTGTATTTTTTTTTATAAAACTCACCGATTTGAAATTAAAAAATAAAATGTAAAGCATTACATGTCAGGACAAAAAACATTTTCTGATAAAGAATCTAGTGGGCTGCTGTAATTTTTTTAGGAAAAAATCTAGTCGACCGCTGTTACTTTTTAGGATGTTTCTAATATTATTTTATTTGACATTACTCTACTGCAATACGTTATTATCTAGATGATTATTATTATCGTTATTATCACTAGATTCTTAATCTAAAAATGTTTTTTGTTCTGACATGTAATGCTTTACATTATATTTTTTAATTTCCAATCGGTGAGTTTTATCAAAAAAACACAAGAGGTAAAAAAGTTTCTAAACAAACTAAACTATCCAAATTAAAGCATTTGCATGTGTTTGATAAGATTTTTCTTTAAATTTCGTTAACAAGAATGATAGGGATAGTTTATTTCAACCCCTTCCACTCATTTTAAAAAAGTAAAAAAATTACCTGAAAGTGTGTTTTCATAACAGTAATGCTTCCATAAAATTTCATTAGTCTATCTCTTTTCGTTTTCAAGATAAAAAATAAAAACATTATTTTTCCGCCATCTTTGTACCGCGATATCTCCCTAATGGTTGACTTTTGACCCAACGTTTATAAAGCAAACTACCCTTTATTTTGAACAAGGAATCACCCCCTAAAGTTTTTCGCATTTGTTTTGAAACACCTTGATATTAGCAAAGACTAGTATAGATTTATAGTTTTGTCGTTATTAATGATCGTCGTTCTTCAGTAACAGAAGGGTAACAGGATCCTGATACGTTGTGGAGCGCTACACGATGTTACAAAAAGAGTTTACTAAAAAAAGCACAACGATTTCGTTTTCCCCCCTTATATTTTGCTATAGTTGTGTTACTGTGTTATAAACGGAATAGCATGAAAAACGCAAATTGTCAATTATTTAAAGTTATATCAGAAAATCATATTTCTTCTTTTTCCTTTTCAGATCCTTATCAAATGTTCGGGCCCACCACCAGCCGTTTAGCGAGTTCAGGTAAGCACCTTAATCGAAATTAAATTGCGTACTTTGGCTGACGAGAAATTGCCCCTATTTTAACCGAAATTACGAGCGCGAACGCTAATTTTTTCGGCGTAATTAAGGAGGAATCGAGGCCAATTTTTGCCGTATTAAACAGCCAAAAATCGAAAACGGAAAGTTTAAACGGCGCTGACCGGAAAGCTTTTTATGATTTCGAAAACGCCAAAAGGAGATTAGACAGAGGTAATTTCTTTTTCTGGTACACTTTGCGTTCATTTTTCTGAGAATTACTTTCTAACATTCGTTAAATTGTTTGGGGAACAATTTAAAATGATTTAGATAAACATATGAGGTTTTTGATTTTTTGTTTCATATACATACGAGCCCTAACAACTATATGTTGGGACAAGGTCAAATTTTGGAATTATTGCCCTGGTTTTTCAAAATGACTGAAAAATATATGTTTAATTTTTTAAATATAAACATAGCCATATATCCTAAACAACTTGACAATATTTTTATGAATTTGTAAATCAATCCATATTTACAGTAGCGGATTTTGTTCATAAAAGGACAAATTTGCTGACAACTAAATGTTGGGACAAGTATTTTTAAATAATTAATATCATCATAGGCGGCTTTGCTATAAACGTCACAAATGTCGCAAACTGTTTACTTCAGCATTGACAGCTTGTAAGTGACTCGATACTTTGAGTAGTGAGATTTACTGTAAGTAATTTTAATTTTTTTAATTTTCAATTTTGTTAATTTAATCCAAAGTAATGGTCCGTGGAAAAGCTACAAATCAAAAACTACGCGAAATTATCATTCGTCAATACAGTACGGGAAAAACAATTCGAAAATTTCTGATGATTTAAGTATTCCAAAAACCACGGTCTTTAAAATAATAAAAAAATACGGCGAATGTAGACGTTAGAGGTAAAAGTTCGGGAAGACCAAAAGTTGCATCTCAGAGAGACAAATTGTAGTAAAATTTTGCAAGTCTGCGAGAAAAAGTACTCTTCGCGAAGTAACAGTTAAATGGAATACTGTAACTGGTTTAAATATATCAAGAGAATGTTGCCGAAAATATATCCGTAAATGCGGTCTGGGGTTTTACAAGGTAAACTTTATTTTGTGTGGATAATCGATTACCTGAAGATTATTTATACAAATTCTTATTTAGACCGAAGAAAAACCGCTACTGACAGAAATTCAAAAGAAAAATCGCTAAAATTGGGCAAAATCTAAATTATCGTGGACACAAAATGATTGGAATAACGTCATATTTAGTGATGAGTCTAAATTTGATGTTTGCGTTGGAGATCATCGAAAACGAATAATACGAAATAAAGCAGAAGCCTTTCATAAAGATTGCTTGAATAGGGATGTTAAATTTCCTAAGGGGATTATGGTTTGGGGTTGCATGTCAGCAAGAGGTTTGGGCAAATTAAATTTTCTAGATGGCACTGTTAACGCCCAAAAATATCAACATATACTTGAGACCTCACTTTTGCCTAGTGCTCTAGAATTGTTTCCAAACGAAGACTATATTTTCCAACAAGGAGCATCGTGCCATTCAGCAAAATCAACTAAAAATTGGTTCGGTAATAATAATATAAAAGTTCTATCCCATCCTGCAAGTAGTCCGGACCTCAATGTTATAGAAACTGTGTGGCATAAAATGAACCAATATTTAAGAAACCACCCTCAACGAACAATTTTTGTTTTGCGGACAAAACTGCAGGAAATTTGGGATTTTCTCCTCAAATGTGCCAATCTTTGGTAAATACAATGCCATTAAGAGTTCAGGCAGTTGTTAAGGCGAAAGGTGATGTAACTCCGTATTAAACAAATTTCTTGTTGTGCTGTCCCAATATATATAGTTGTCAACAAATGTGGCTTGATTTTGGCATTATCAAAAGTGATTTGTTTGCAAAGTTATAAAAATATAGTAAAATTGTCTAGATCATATTGTAATGTTTGAATTTAGAATAATAAATAAAATAAATTGAGTCGTTTTAACAAATTACTATTGTTATTGCAAAAAAAGACCTTGTCCCAACAGATAGTTGTTAGAGCTCGTACATACATACAGCCGTTGCTCGCTGACGAGTATTCGACACACATAAAGAAGATGGTCACGCAAGGCGTTTTCTTTCATGAGCTTTTCTGTGACTGAAAAGCCCGATACGTGATGTTATCTGCCTACCGCACTCTTACCGTCTACTCTTACCGCACTATTACCGTCTACAAGATCACCGTAAAGCAGAGATTTTGGTATGCGGTTTTCTTGCATTCTGCATACGTGATCAGCCCATCTTAAGTGGGATTTTCGTATTGTATTGACTAGGAGTGGGTCCCAGGTGGGACCCTCCATTGCGGCGGCGAGGGCCTATCATATCATCTATAATCATGACTTCAATACTCTCTCAGTTAGCGTCCAATATTACATCTCTTACTAATGCCACCATTCAAATGGTTTACTTTTTCACGAAATAAATCACGATCCATTCTATTTTCCCACACGATCGAGTCAAAAGTCGTCGATCGCGTGTCCAACGAAATCAAGTCGCCACCGGTCGAAAAACAGATGACTAAAGGCCAAGCCACGTGTCACCTTACCTATATTTACGGTCGTAGAGGGGGCGCCGATCGCCCGACCGTAAAACAAAAGCCAAACGGTGTCATTAACTGCGAACGTTTTCCTCCTTTTTTAAAGCATAAATCTGGCAACCACGCCCAGAACGCCGCGGCGTTACGGGGGCCGCGTGTGATTTTGTTGACCGACCTAATGACATTTAAATGAGTGGTAATTGCTTTTTTGTTTCGTTCGTACAGGGGGCGATGGGGCGTCTAAGCAGTGAGGGTCGCAGTGTTTTATAATAGAGATTTGATTTTTTCTGTTTGATATTAAAAATGTATTGCTCAAACTGAATATTGGCAATAAGAAAATGAAGAAAAAGGTTGAAGGGGGGGGACTTTTTTTTAAACAAGTTTACTTGTAAAACATATTTATGTATAGTTATTAGAGAAATAACTATTAACATTATTAAAGACGCATCTCAAACATACCGTGTGTTGCATCGCCGCCCCGCGCCGACCTGTACATAGGAAATCATTTTTTTTTTCATTTTTCCCCATTTTATTTGACAGAAAAATGTATTTTTTAAATGACACCGTCCGGAAAACTTTTGGCGTGTTCGGATCGGCTCGGAGACAGGTCCAAACCTAGCGCGCGTTCAGTTCATTTTATTCGTTCGGACTAAAATGCTCAAATCTGGACGCACCTTAAGTTATCTACGATATTTACACAATATTGTCATAATAACAACATATATGGATAAATTAAAACAAATGCTGAATAAATTGAATGATGTGTCCCAACAAATAGGATTAAACATTAATCTACAGAAGTAATGCACCATGAAAATGACAAGCAATGTACAAATAACATCAAGAACTGGAATAGGTAGAAGGATATGTATATATGGGACAAAAGGTAGTAGGGGTAGGAAGAGAAAAACAGACACTAGAGATTCAAAGAAGAATAAGACAGTGAACATAATTTGGAAAACTTAAAAATATATTAGAAAAATAAAGACATCGCAATGCCATTAGATTGAAGGCCGCTTGATTATCGGATTAAGATGGCTATTTCTTATTTCCGATAGTTTCTATCTAAGATAAGTTGTACGCATCTTTCGATAGCGTAGATTTATGCCTGAATAATGCTGAGGTATTGGTTCGGAGTATTTAGTTTTCGGCCCTCGAATCCTGTTTCTGCTTTGGTTTAGAAACATCGTCACAACCTAAGCTTAAAGCTTGGCAAGGGCCAGGACTGGTTGCAGTAAAGGGAGAAAACATCCCAAAAGAGGTGTCTTTCATCACGGTCTTTCTGCCGAGGAGCAAAGGGAAACACATCACCTACCAGCTGAGTATTATCCAGGCTCTGAACTCCAATGTAAGGACATCGAATTGGCGAATCATCAACTCGAGGGGTCATGGTCAGGTCCTCACAATAGGAATTGACCTCAAATCCAAGGAAGCAATAGAGAAAGAGTGATATATTCTCTATTATGGATACGGGACAACACCGGTATCAGGTGTAAGGAGATATCAAGTTAAAGAGCTGGAAAAATGGAGACAGATCCTACATCCTCCAGGGAAGCCAGTCGGCAAGTGCATCGATGGCGGGAGCAAATCCGGACAAGCTGGAATAAGTTTTATTTTTTTAGTTTGGTGTCGAGAAGCACGTATTAAATTGGCACTCTCCTCAAAGCCCGGATTTGGCCGCCATCTTGGAAAAATTGGCTAAAATTCGGTTTATTTTTCATTATTTGTCAATAATTCGATTTCTATCAACTTTAGGTCAAAATATGTGGAGACCAAAATTAAAGAAGAGGAAAAACTCTATAAAAAAACGTTATGTGGTTCTTTTTCATGCGATTATCCAAAGTATCGAATTTGACGAAAACAAAACTAAAGTTTGATATAATATACGTGTTCAATATATCCGGGGTTATACCTTGAGCGGCACCCCCGAGACATAAAGCCTAAAAACTTGTTTGCTACTGGTTGGCAATAGCCTGCTGTCGCGGTCATAATGGTAGAACGCAATTTGAATTATGACCGCAATAACGGACTAAATTTTTATTGTTGAGCGACTGGTAGAAAATCAAGTTTAACCACCTTATCTCTCAGGGAGTTTTGAGGTAAAGTACCCGACGCGTTTTTTTTTTGAGTGGTCTCCCCATTTCCAATAGCCCTAATCCACATGTCGTCAACTTAGGTTTCTTTTGAGGTGGAAGGTTCGTCAGAGTTTCTTCGTTTTTTTTTATGTTGCTGGCTGTTCAATATAATCTTCCTGAATGTCTTCCACTTCTGTAGAGATATTCCAGATCTAGTTCATAAGGTGCAGAATATTCTTTTGGTTGATCTTTATCGAAAGGAAAATTGTCCTCGTACTCATCTTCGTCTAATTTTGCCACCTCCAAACTATTCGAACATGATTT